GTGGTATAATACTACTGCAGTCGCTGAACAATACTATTACCACATCCCCTTCCATCGTTTCATAAACAAATACTTACAAATAACGTAACTGGTGCATACACCACGTGTCATTAATACATCGACATTATAAATCAGACTACTCAGATAGCATTTATATATAGTGTAMATATAATATTATTATCACCGTTTATTATGTACGACAATATAATTCCGTTTCCGGTCTGCAAATTCCCGACAGCTGCGGCGCCGTAACGTGCGATTCCGGCTGGCGAAAACAACGTCGTTTGTAATTCCATAGTACTGCAGACCGAATGGTSGACGCGTGCGTGTTCCAACATGTGTACCTACTCGTTTAAATGAGCCGTCTAAAAATTTGACCAAGATGATGGTCTAATAATAATTATATTACCAGGATTAATCAAAGTGGTTTGTGGAACATAAAATCATAATTCATATGATTAATTGTACTCCATGCAACGTATCGTTGTTGTACATATAGTAACAACAATAATACAATGAACTTGAGTTCAWACTTGTTGTAGACTGGCAGTTTTTAAAGAGGGGTACCTATACTCGCACGAGTAACGTTTAAATATTTTTTAAACCATTCTTCACCGTTCGTGAAAACTGTTAACGAAAATATGGTTCACACATTGTATATTATATGAGGCAACGACGAATTGAAATTTACCCACATAATAGTATACTCACAATATAGTGCAGAAATATTAATGATACTATCATCTTACCTATCTATGTTATTATTATATTTATTTTATAATGTTATAATCGTTCGGGGCACTTGCTGCGAATACGTATTCTAGATACGTGGAAATAACATTTTAGCGTGCCAGCGGAATGACAAAAAACACATATTATATTTACGTCTCGACTCACTAAGTTGACAGACCGACGGCCGCAGCTGCGATACCGAGAAAGGACGCAGATGACAGTTCTCGCAGTCGGCCAAATAAACAACGTCGTCGGCTACTATACAATAAGCAAACACACACAAATACATAACATATATACATGTATATATATATTATATATAGTATACTTATATATACTTTCAAAAGAAAACGAATGTTTTTTGTCAAACGAGTGTGCCATGTCATAAAAAGTTAAAAACAAACAAGCAATAAATTTGGCAACTAAACGGTCAGTTAAAAGATGTCCACCGTCGCTTACATAAAACCACATAGAATAAAAAGAAAAAACCGAAAATGCACGTATATAGTGTACTCAACAGAATTATTTACWAAACTGAAACATTTATTATCTATACATGATWCTACTCGTATAGTGTTTATGTGTAAAGCACACATATGTATTATATTATGCAATATGCATAATAATATATATTGTCCACCGAGATCAAAACTCGGTAAAAGATTCTATTTTATCGCAAGTTGGATAAAACCATCTGATTCTGAGAGCAAACTCGCGTTTAAGAACTATGTGTATGCGAGCCGAATACTAATATCGTACAAGCGCACGACAATAGAAGTTGTACCTATACAACAAACACCAAAGTTATTACTTTTTTTGTTTTTGCATGTGCTATAAAAAATAGTAAATTTATTTTAAGTCCAATATAGGTGTGAAGTTTTATTTTTACTCACATCTTAGTTTAAAATATTTCAATCATGTTATGTTTCTAATGCGTTGATACTTGATAATAGAATCAATCGTTTGATTTTGTGTGAAATGACAGTGGATAGAGTACAAATACGAATTTCAACGACGATGATTATTCTATTAAAAGTCTCATCTAATAATGATCATAAATAATATTATAATGTTTAAAAAATATTTATAGAATTATGTTTTTCTTCATAAATGTAATTTTACCATTTAAAATTAAATTTTAATAAATAAATTTTAATCCTGGTAAAATTGTTTAGAATTATCCGATAAAACTCTTTAACTGTTTATAAATGCACTGGTCAGTGAATATTATTCTTTAATCAGGTCAACGAAATATAATTGTTGATCAATTAATCGAACGCCAAACATTATTTATTTAACTTGATAAAACTCATGTAACAGTATCAGTAAAATCATTGTATTTGTGTGCTAATTAATTGTAATGTAGCCGCACATATTATATGTTTTTGAAAAATGAATAGTATCAAATGTCTAAAATACTTTAYATTGAACGATGATTAAATCGGCGTTCCAATATTATGACAAATTTACCTGTATATCGGATTGGTCTCTCCCAGTTTGAACCAGATGACCAACGTGACGCGATCACTCGGAGTCGGTGGAGTCATGTTACACGGTAAATATGCCACCATTCCGGCCACAGCTTCCACGTTAGTGGTTATCACTGAAAACGAAAAAAAAAAAAAACCAATTATTATTATTATTATAATTTTAATAATTTCAGTTCATCACACAAATGTGTTTAGAATCAGCTCAAACGTTATTATATTTTCTTATGTTCCTAAAATCGAGTAAGCAGTATTAGATTTTTATTACCTATAGACATTCTGATAAGTATGACTTGTTTACTTAGGTCTGTTCCTTCTTCTAAAATATGATATTTTTAAACCTAAATTATTAATGTTCTACTACAGGTCTACATGTGAATATGTTAATAAAAATAAATTGCTCATTCAACATTGTAAAAGTGTTTTAAATTTAAATTATTATATGCTCATCTTTAACTATAGGTAACTAACTGATTTTTAAATAGAGATATCATTGTAATATACGAACACATAATACGAATGGAAATATAAATAAATAAACAGTTAAATTATTACCTACTTAAAATACATAAATTTAATTTTAGATTTCTTTTTTCTTTTTTATTACATGTGACAGTAATAACTATACATGTTTACAGTTATGTATGGCAATATTAAAATTTAAAATCATTGTGTTTGTAGGGTGCAGTTTGTTTATACATATATGTATTTAAGTGTATACACTTTTTTTCTATTTCAAAGTAGCAAATAAAACGCGTAATATTGCGATGACTTAAATTTTATATTATATAGACCATTAGTCGTTACATTTGTTTTTCGACGTCACGAACACTGTTCAGCGAAAACAAAATAGTGTAACACACGATTTTTGTGGTTAACTTCCTCACCAAACACACTTCCGTTTTAACAACAATAATGCACAGTCATGTAGTTGTACTTATGCGTTTTTATTATTTTTATCATTATCGACGAGTAGGTACCTACATTGTCTGAATTTTACTTCTAGTCAGTCTATTTTGACCGATGAAAACTTACATATTATCAGAATATTTTTATTGCAATCATATAATAATATGTATGTACCCTATCGATAGGCTTATAACATCTGTCAGATCATAAAATTAGAAATTTAATATGTTATTATGTGGTTACAACTCGTCCGATGGTAAATGATTAACACGATAAGTGAAAAAGATAATAAGTTTGTGTATATAAAATACGCATAATTCACACTTTGGTTTATACCACTACTAMATAATGTATTTTTGCACCACAAATACGGAAAAAGATAAGTTATCATTTATATTTCATTAATTAATTGACCGGAAAATGTTTAAATACGACGCTTTAACKTATAGAGATGTGGCATTTCTTTTGACAAAAAAAATGTTGATAAAAAACACTAACATCGTAGAAAGTCAGTCGGTAAACACTAGTCACGATGGAATATAAAGAACTACGTCTTATCAGTTTGATGAGTATACAGTATCGTACTGTAATACAGTATACATTATTCGATTTATGACATTGTGGTGGTCATCAATAATCGAAACCTTCATACTCGATTCATAAAAAAAATCATCTAGTCAACCGTTCTACAAATTGTAAATTGTAAACGATGGAAAATGGTAGAAGGTATACTAATATATTTAAATGAAACAATTTTTTGTGGTCCGAACGAAATATTATCCTTAAACTTGGCTATTTCGATCTATCTTCTAGAAAACCAGACATCAACGATTATCAAACGGCACATATAATAATATTCTATTCGTCCAAAAGGTTTATGAAGAATCAAAATACGGTAATGAATAATTTTTATTTTTTTTTTTTGTATGGCACTATGCCCGAAGGCCTAGTCCAGACGCCTGTTTGACAGAATTTCTATTGGGGCACCCGTAGGTTTCTGCCATGCCCCGGAGTGGGGGAGGGCGGCACTTGTTCTCCGGACACCATGACTTGCCCGGAGAAAAATGCCGCCCGATGGTCGAGGATCGAACCCGGTCCGGCTGAGCCACAGCCGACGCGTTAGACCACTCGGCCACCTCGTCCCCCAATGACTAAATAAAGCACACACATTAATATGTTGAATTCCAATTTCATATGTGAAATACGAAATGTTTTCGGATGATTGTAAGATTAATCAAATGTTTTTGGAAAAAGACCAAAAATCATTTAGTTTTTGTTTCTAACTGGATCCCAATAGRACGTTTACTATACTATCTTTGCAGCATACAACTAATTATCACAGTGGTCGGACAATGTGCCAATTAATGTGACTTYCCGCGGGTATCATACTGCTTATCGGACATTTTTGGCCAGTCAGTTTGGTTTAAGAGGACGACGAGGAAGAGTTAGAATGAAAAACGAGAAAAAAGTTGTACAAATACAAATCGTTTTAATAAACAAAAACGATGTATAATTTTTTTCTCATCCTTCTTTTTTTCACCATATCCTGCAAATAACGCAGTCTAAATAGCTGATGCCGCCAGGGATGCAACGGTCAGAAAGGGTGGACGATCGCTCAACGTTTTGACGGGCAACCGTTATTCTTACGCCCCAAAGTGCCGACATCAGCTTCAAGACGCCAGTAGTGGTCCACACACCCGATCTTCGTCTTTGTAGTCGTCGTTTTCATTTGATTAATATACCGACTTTTTCCAATTGAGCCCATCCACTGTGGTAGACCAAAAATGTTACTCTCATTGTAGTATTTCACCATAGCTGTTTTATTTTTTCCTCTTTTTTATTCAGATCCACCCATAACACCGAAGTTTCACCGAGTTATTACGCATTCGCCGACATTACTTTTATTTTAATGCCTTACTATAGATCAGGAATAGGTTTTATTTTTAAATAATTCAAATACTTCTTTTATTTTTGTCTTCCCATGTAGCACGTTTTGATATTTTAAAAATATTGTTGACTATACGTGACACTTATGAAAGTATCATTAAATAACAAATATCATGTGCATTAAAAATTTACACTTTACAGTGACTAGTCTATTTGAATTTCACTGAATATTTTGAGGAAAATCGTATATCTTATTGTACAAGGTTCTATAGTTAAAACTAATTATACATATTAAAAATATTGCAACATAATATTCAGTGTGACTTAAGTAAAGATGAAGTATGAGTATAGTTTTCTAAAATATAGTTTGCSTGACCGATATTCGAGAATTATGATTATACGGATAGTTATTCATATGGACAAGGGAAATCAACAAAATAATGATGTCGAAGTTATTGAAGTTTTTTTGAAAACAAACAGACTTCAAACTAACCATCAATAATCTTAATTATTAAGAGTAAGTTTATTAAATCTTAGAATTAATTTAAATGTTTTAATGCTGCCGTTATAGTCAATAATTATTATAAACATAGATGTATCTAAATTGCCTATTCAATACGCCGTGTTATATTCATTTTTCTTATTGAAATACAAACATTATTACATAAAACGTAAACAATTTTTAAAAAAAAAACCATTTTTTTGTGCTAAAGTAATAAAAGGCCACTACCCAGCCAGAACAAAAATGGACCTAATGGGCGTTTGGTTTGTATATTTTTATTCTAAACAGAATAGTATATATGTTCTAAGGAATATACTATAGATTATAGGCTCGACTAATCTTATCAGCTAATAGACGCTTTGTATTATCATAAGACATAACTATATCATCAAAGCAGGAGTCTCACAATACATATTTATAATACAATAGAATATATTATAAATACATCGAACATTTAAAACCGCTAAATGGTCTCCAAATTACTAAGAACGAGTGAGTGAGAGCTACAATATTAGATTCTGTGAAGCCTTTTTGGAAAATTTRGATTTTGTTTTTCGAATAAACAATAGTTGTTGTTTCACCTCACTATCACACGATGGTARGCTTTATTACAGGTATTTATTATGTAGATAAAATTCAGCATACATAATATTATGAACGATGACGACCTGTATGTGTTGTGCGCGTGTTGCATAGACTAGTTTTCCACATTTTCGGTCACAGCTATACACTATCATACATTGAATGGAGAGTGGAAAAAGGWCGTGAAAAAAATAATAATCGTAAATTGACAATTTAGCTCGCCCAAAATTGATGCCCAATAGATAAAACATTTTACTGTCGATATCGTCGTTTTATTACCGATTGCGTCAACGTTTGGACTGAATAAACCGTTTTCGATCTTGTATCGTAGGTTTTTTTCATGTTTCCTGATATCTCAGAAACAATAATAATTTAATTCAGACTATTTTCTTGGAGGTACTTGTTTAACTTTCACTCTAAGTAGAATTTTAAGATATTATCCACCTATATGATAAAGGAAAGAAAATATATAATAGCGCAAGAATTACACGTACGTTTTAATGACGGAAAATACAATGAGTGTCTATAAAATTGTAATCACGATCATATACTAGGGAACGTTTTATTATACCGGAAGTTAGTATTTCCTGCCAATTTGTTAATTTATTGCCATCAGATACATTGAAAAGCAATTCTTATCGATTTTAAATCCAATTTATATAAGAACATTAATTTACTATGGATAAATACAATGTAGTTATAATTTCACAGTGAATGTAAATTATGAAACCATGAAGTAGGTACACAATTATTCCTCAGAAAAGGACAATGTACTTACCTATTACTGTGCATAGGTATAGTTAGTACCAACAAAGACGATATTATTTTATTATTACCTACACACTACCAAGTTAATGTGTTTAGATATAAATGTGATTTTGTGAAAGTGTGACTGAGGACATAAGTTAGAGTGAACAGACGCTAAAATTTTGAACCTTTGAGTTTAGTTTTTGATAGATAATACCAATGATCCAGTTTAAATATTAAAAGTAATACAATTAGAACATCGATAAAATACCGTAGTGGATGTATTTTATGCTATAAAAGTTTTTGACAAAATAGATATGTATTTTATTTTTATTTTATCATAGAAAAAAAAACCATATAATATATTTAATAAATAACATTTCTTAAGCATAAATCAAAATGAATTTAATAGATTAAAATATTTTAAATTTTTTTAGATTTATAACTCTTTCCTTTTAAGGAAATTCAGTTTAAAATGTCGAATTAAAT